TTTTGATTGGATTCTTCAAAAGTCTCCTTCAGTATTTTTATTGTTATAATGTTTTGCATCATTTTACAGGCCTGTATATTTTTCCCCTACCTAAAATCTTTAGTTCCCTCTAGTGTCCAGTTTTTGAAATCATGAAATTGCTTATCTTCGTTATGTCTTGTAAAAACCAAAACAGGATTTATTTCCCATGAGAAGCTGTTTATTCCTTATAATTAATTCCAATATCTTATTGTAAAAGTTTCAATATTCTAATTTCATGTGGACCCTTAGTCTGTTCATAACTTTCTAAGATCAAGATCTTATTTAACTTTTTGCTGTTTATTTCAGATTCTTTAAATTCTTAAGCTTTAAGAATTAAGATTAAAATTTTCTTTCGTTCAGGATTGAAGGCAGACCCACTTGGCATTTTCAAACTTCTTGTTCTGAAGGCCTCTAATAGCTTAGAAGTAGTTAATGAGCAACTTTTGAAAATGATTAGAAAGTAAGGTTTGTGAACTTAGTGTCATTTAAAAGGAGGCTTCAGTCATCCCCACCAAAGGGCTGGGTAAAGAGCCAAATAAATAGGCCACAAATAGGCCTCCACCTACAGTATAGCTGAGACATATAACACAGGAGCTGCAGAATTTGCTCTCTTATTAGCATTCCTATGCCTTTCAGCTAGCCTCTCAGATCTATGAAGTTCAGCTCTGTGCTCCTGAATCTTCACTAGGTACCTTTGTCTAGAACTAAGTTACTGAGCTCTGAATCTGAAAGAGTGGGGAGAGGGTCCTAGGAACTTGTTGATTCTGTAAAACCCTGAGTGATGTCACTGGCTTGAGCACTACTGGAGTCTCCAGCAACAGTACTGCTGCTACCAGATGCTTCCTTCACCATCCTCCTCATCCAAGGACATGTCCTCCAGCAGAGTCATAACAGTGTTTGTAAAGACTGCATCTGTGCCTGATGTCACAGCTGAAAGAGCAGGCTTGGAGAACCAGCAGATCAGGGCATGTGGGGTCCTGAAGAGCTCTCCACTTTCCTGGATGTGGTGCTGCCAACCCATTCTCTTCCTACACAGAGGCTATGCAGCAGAACAGGCCACCCAGGCCATGGCATGGCACTCTCACCCTTTGTAAGTGTGGATTGTTTGCAAGTAAGTGGCAGTCTCTCTGAGGCCAGACAGGCTGGCTGCCTCATCATCAGTGGCAGCTGCATAAAAGGAGCTGCAGCTTTGTGTGCTCAGCCAAGGAGAGAATTTAAACGGTATCAGTACTACATCTCAGCTACTGGAAGCAACTTTGACAATGTTCCCATGGTCTCTGTTCCTTGCTCCATGTCTTTCCATGTGAATGGCTTGACATTAAGCAGAGAATAAAACAGGGATGTAAGATGCCTTCTTAGCTACTACTTAGTATTTATAGGTAAGTGTGTAAGCAATGCTTGTGGCCAGAAGTGCTTTAGTTTGGGTCATGAGTATGTTTGTATGGAGACAGTGCCATGTTGCTAACTGAGAACCCAAATGCTTTGCAGGGAATACTTTAAGTTTTGCATCCATACACCTCATTCCATCATGCAATCTGATGGAATTAGGAGTATGAATCTGAAGATTAAGTATCCAAGCCCAGAGTAGGTATGTCTGACAAGGAAAAGGGAATAAATGACTGCAAGTTATGCATATGTGGTGAGAAACTATTGGAGAAATGTTGACATGTAAATATTGGTAGAAACACACTGGATAATATCTGGCAAGGAATGAATGTTGAAAGAGGCAAAATTGTTTACATTTAAGAGTGTGCTTCTGCCCACTTTGTTAAATGGAAGTGAGAGTTGGGTATGTTAGGGGAAACAAAAAAGTTGAACGCTCTTAGAATAAGCTACTTAGGAAGACTGTGTGGTGACACAAGAGATTGGGTGAAGAACAGATACTGAATGAACGTGGATAGAATATAGAAGTGAATAATATAAAAGAAGTATATTGAGGTAATTTGATTGCATAGAGAGAATCAAGATCAAATTGCAAAACAAATTTATGAAAAAATTGAATGGAGAGGAGGAGAGAATAAGAAAGTAAGACTAAGAAAGTTATAGTTGGATGGATTACATGAGAATGAAAAAGAGGCAATAAGTTTAGGACAATGTTTGAAGCATGGTATGGACTTGGTGCAAGCAAGAATGATTTACAAGGATTAAAAAGTATGGAGAGGTATAACTGCATTGGTGTAAAGTAGATACAGCTATATCTTTTTTTGTCACATACCTTTAAATTTCTGGTTTATATTTGTATGTCTGCTTTTGCTTTTAGCATCCAATTAAGTACGTAAGGCAGTATTTTTTTCAATATCTGTGAAAATAGCATGCATTTTTTAGACTTCAGATCTACAATAAGGAAGGTGTGTTTAAAATAGGAAACGTAAGATTACAGAGAATTTTTGTTCAAATGTTATTTAATATTGCTTGCACAGTAATGTGCAAGTGGCACATACATGCTTATATAATCCTTGCTTATGGTGACAAACTGTATCTGGCTAGGCTTAAACTCAGTATTTTCAACCTCAGATCGTCAATTTCTTTTCTGCTTTACCATTCCTTGGTTTTTTCTTATTTCTACAAGCTCTTCATATATAGGGTTGGAAGATAAAGGAAGTGAAAGCAAAGAAGCTCTCTGCCTGAAGGAGGGATTAGAAGCAGTTCTTAGAGAGTGGAATTTCATCATAATTATTTAAAGTTGAAGCATTTTGCCTTGAGAATGTAATTAGTACACAACTTTCTGTTAGGAATTTTTAAAATAAAGCTATGCAAAGTCCCTATGGGAAAAATATTAATGTGGTCCCCTGATATCATGCGTTATCATGTACTGCGTTGCATTTTTTTACTCTTATTCTAAGAGTGCTGATTAGCTTATTTATAATACACTTTAATCTCACATCATTGCACAGCCTGGGTCACAGGTGTCTTAGCTTAATATAAAGCATTATTCATTGTGCTGAGATGTACTTGCATCAGCCAAAAACAAGAGTGTTGAACCATTAACTTACATACAGCCGTGCATTGCCCTCCCTGAATTCTGCAACCCCGTTTAGGTAACTCTTGTTTGCATAATCAGTATAGATAATTTTTTCATTATGGATCTTATTTAGCACTAAGATTTATTATAATTAGATTTATTTTCAATAATTTCAAGTAATGTTACTATGCTTAAATTACAAATATATGTTGACTTTTTTTTCTCATGCATTTTCAGATAAAAGCATCATCTATGTCTTTATTTGCTTTGTTACACATTTTGTTAAAGGTCAACTATACACGAGTTAACTAACCTAACCTTTAAAAATATAATGATTTATCTTAAAATACTTCATTTTCATTTTATCACTTTATCATATTCATCTGGATAGTGTTGACATCCAAAATAATGACTTCAAAGATTCTGCAAGTCCATCAGAAAGCATTGTCCACTTTCTTCTTTAGTTTGGCCTTTTGGACTATCTGATGGTTGATTGTAGCAATTTGGGGGGCAGGGGTGTTCCTCCTTACAGCTTGCTAGGCTTGTAGGAGTTACAGTTCCAGAGTTTCTAGCCGCCAGGCCTTTCCCTCATGACCATCTATTGGGCCACTGTGAAAAATATTCAGCCATCTAGTATTTGTATGGATTCACTCAGAGTTAGACTCTGACTGGTTAGGGCTAGTTGAGGTGATGGAGGTATGAACCTTCCTGGTAAACTGAGAAGAATTTGATCCTATAACTCCTAACAAAGGTCATTTGTCAGTTTAGATCAGATACCAGTTTGGATGATACTCAGTTGTATATCTTGACCCTTGGTTGGGCAAGCAATGCTAAAAAGGTCTTGTCTCAGGGCCTGGAGTCTGTTGGGGTCTGGATGGGGAGGAGCAAGCTCAGGCCCCAACCTAGCAAGACTGAATGTCTGTAGGTGCTTGGAACTCTCAGTTACGGGGATTTTCCATCCCTGGTCCTGAAGGAGGTAGCACTCCCCATTCAGGATCAGTACACAATCTGGAGGATTTTCTGTACATTAAGGTGCTACTTGAGGAGCAGGTGGTAACTGTGGCCCGGAAGCTTACTGCCTTACAGTAAATAAGGGATTAATATTTTTGAACCCTTGGTATTTACTGTGTGTTGTTTAAGAGAAAAATGGTGAGAAAATGATTACTTGGGAAATAATATACACAAATACAAAAATTCCTCCTCCATTTATGCATTATATTGAATTTTATGGACTTTTACAAAACAGATATCACATTCTGTCAGATTGGAAGTAAAATATTTGAAATGTTCTTATTGCAGCTTCCCTGCAAGGTCTATTGCTCACAACTTCTCATTCCCAATCTTCTTCATTAATTAAAGTGAGGCAATGATGATGATGACCATTATATTTATTGTTATTATTTGTTATAGTATTGTTTCTCAGGCTCTTTTGAGTTTCGAAAATGGTTATTTATATGTAGATTGTGACAAACATTTCCTAGGCTCATTTGATCCCTCTACTACCAATACCAGGAATATTATTATCATCTTTGGATGAAGGAATAGCAAGAAATTATATCTCACTACAATAAAGTAAACTTAATTAAATGGGGTGAGTCCTTTCTGCCCATCCCCTTACCTCTAGTGTTGAATTTTTTTAAAAATGATTTCATTACAGATATAGATTCAAGGTTTATACTTTCCAGTTTTTCACTTTATTGCATTTTATGACATTTAACTTCATAGTTTTTTTTTTAATCCCTCCCTCCCTCCTTCTCTCTCTCCTCTTTGTTTTTTGGAGTGGGGACAATTTTCAATCATCCTACGATGGCATGATGCTTTGAGTAGAATCCCACTCTGGATCCAATCCATATTGTAGATTTAAAGTTGTTTCATTCTTACAAAACTGGATGAGGAGTCAAATATTTTAAATGAAGTTCAATAAATGGAAAACAGTAGTACTTATGGAATAAATAAGAAAGGATATAGTATTTAAATATTAGCTGGGAATAATTTTGAATTCTATATATATATACAGGAATTTGACAAGAGGAGTTGGTAGATTTAGAGAGATTCTAAGAGCCGTTGAAACAAGAACTACACAAAATCTACGCATGGTAAGTTTTTATAGCTGTGGTGAATTAGGTGCCTGAATACAGTGGAATTCAATTAAGAATAAGAATACATAGGTTTATACTGTAGCAGTGTTCATTTTAAGGCAGTGATTATTGCCATAATTAGAATATTAAAATATTATAGCAAAATAATGGTTAATATACAGTGGGGCAAAAAAGTATTTAGTCAGCCACCAATTGTGCACGTTCTCCCACTTAAAAAGATGAGAGAGGCCTGTAATTTTCATCATAGGTATACCTCAACTATGAGAGACAAAATGGGGGGAAAAATCCAGAAAATCACATTGTCTGATTTTTAAAGAATATATTTCCAATTGTGCAAGTTCTCCCACTTAAAAAGATGAGAGAGGCCTGTAATTTTCATCATAGGTATACCTCAACTATGAGAGACAAAATGGGGGGAAAAATCCAGAAAATCACATTGTCTGATTTTTAAAGAATATATTTTTTATACTGTAGCAGTGTTCATTTTAAGGCAGTGATTATTGCCATAATTAGAATATTAAAATATTATAGCAAAATAATGGTTAATATACAGTGGGGCAAAAAAGTATTTAGTCAGCCACCAATTGTGCACGTTCTCCCACTTAAAAAGATGAGAGAGGCCTGTAATTTTCATCATAGGTATACCTCAACTATGAGAGACAAAATGGGGGGAAAAATCCAGAAAATCACATTGTCTGATTTTTAAAGAATATATTTTTTATACTGTAGCAGTGTTCATTTTAAGGCAGTGATTATTGCCATAATTAGAATATTAAAATATTATAGCAAAATAATGGTTAATATACAGTGGGGCAAAAAAGTATTTAGTCAGCCACCAATTGTGCACGTTCTCCCACTTAAAAAGATGAGAGAGGCCTGTAATTTTCATCATAGGTATACCTCAACTATGAGAGACAAAATGGGGGGAAAAATCCAGAAAATCACATTGTCTGATTTTTAAAGAATATATTTTTTATACTGTAGCAGTGTTCATTTTAAGGCAGTGATTATTGCCATAATTAGAATATTAAAATATTATAGCAAAATAATGGTTAATATACAGTGGGGCAAAAAAGTATTTAGTCAGCCACCAATTGTGCACGTTCTCCCACTTAAAAAGATGAGAGAGGCCTGTAATTTTCATCATAGGTATACCTCAACTATGAGAGACAAAATGGGGGGAAAAATCCAGAAAATCACATTGTCTGATTTTTAAAGAATATATTTTGAAAATTACAGGCCTCTCTCATCTTTTTAAGTGGGAGAACTTGCACAATTGGTGGCTGACTAAATACTTTTTTGCCCCACTGTACATACTTGTACAAAAAATTAAAATAAACATAAACAGTTTGGAGATGTTGGACCAGTACCTGTTGGGTTTCTAATTTTTGATAGCACTGCATATATGAACAATTCCTGGTCCTAAGTTCAGTGGCAAATAGTTCCTGACCATCTACCCTGTGACAGCATTTTATGTACTTGTACTTTGAAAACAAACTTGTTTCATTAAACAAGCTGGCTATATAAGTTATATTTTTAGAAGGCAAAGCCCTTCTCTTATGTAGTAAATTTGATACACCATGATGTGCAAAACAGGTATTAGAATTTTGATGACTAGGATAGAACCATTGTAATATAGAATACTTGATTCACAATCATTCCTCTTTCTCCCCACTTTTTTTAAAATTTAGAATTCTTTTTGGTTCCTATTACTTGTTTGGCAAATTTAAAAAAAAATATTTCTGCAGACTTAATAGTTTTTCCCAAGTCTGCTGATATTCTCTAATCTATAGATGGTGATTTTTGGCTATAAAAAATAGGAACTTAGAGAATGAGTTGATTATTTGTACATATTATTTTATATATTGCTTTTTCAAACTTTTTATGGTTCCATTGGTGAGTTTGTTCTTTAGGCTACATTTTATTCTGTTCGTTACATTCTACATATACCCTATTTGTATACCATTGCTTATTGAACAAAGTTGTACAGTGCAGAAGGACTTAAAGCGGTAAGTTGTTTCCTGTTATACACAAGTTCCACATCCTGCTTTTGTTCATTCTAAATATGGGGGGTATTTCTTTTTTCTTCTTAACAGACAATAGCAAGGCAGTTAGCTGAAATTTTGCTACGAGGCATGTGTGAACAGAGTTACTGGCACCCTCTGGATGACCCTCCTCAGCAGTCACCCTTAAACGATCCACTCTGGAAAGGTGCAAACACTAAAAGTTATGCACTTAGCAGAAGACCACGGGTGTACTCAGGAGAAAAGTATGTTTTTAAAAGAAATGTAATAAGTTGATGTGATGTGTTCTGTTTAAATAAGGTTAACACAGTGTATGGGCACAGTCCCTTAACAATGTTGCTGTGTGCGCACAGGGCAAGGTTGGGGAAAAGTAGAAACAGAAAGCAGAATTAAAATATTTTCTATGTAAAGCATGGAATGTGAATTGATAAGGACAGATACATCTGTTCTTAAAGTATGCTACCTATAGTGGAGATTAGCATCAAAATAGCTTTGGCTACTTAACAAAGCAGATTTGTTAGCTATGGGTTTCAGTTGCCACTGTGTTTGGGCTAGCAGTGCAATATTCAAAGCTTGAATGGACTTTTCCTTTTTCCTGGAAGCATAAAACATACTGATGATAATGTGAGGTCACTGAGTCTTACCTTTATCTTAACCATTAAGAGTGATGTTGAATACTGAAGAATTTTAACAGAGCTGGATGCAATAACTAAATCTGTTTAAAATCTGTGTGGCTGGAAGTTTGAATACTTTCTTATTTGTAAGAAAGAAATATTTGCAGCAGCAAATATTAACTGGTTTGCAAGTTCAGAATGCTTCCCAAACTGTCTATTGTGAACTTGGAACAATTGTTTTGAACTCTCAATGGGATTAGAGGTAGAAACAGTTCAAAACTTGAATATTTTGTACATCTCTAAGAAAACCAGGATAGAAGCAAATCAGTTTGAGTGGAGGATTTAAAATACAAACAATTATTGGGAAATAAGCATTTCCCAACCCTATAGATGATCAGGTTTTATTTCAGTACGCTTGTTATTCACTTGCATATGTTTTCATTAGTTGAAGAATTTGGTAAATGAATTTCTTTTTCTCAAATTTCTTAATATTCTGAATTATGCATTCTCTAAAATATTAATGTGAATGTGGTGCCATTATGGAGAACTAGTTAACATGCCAGAGCCAGTGTGAAGTAGCGGTTAAAGTGTTCAACTAGGTCTGGAGATATCTAGGTTTAAATCCAACTTCAGTCATAGGCCAATCACTTTCTCTCAGCCCTATCTATTTTGGGGGTGGGGGGTAGTGCTAGATATACTGCCTTGAGCTCCTGGAGGAAAGGCAGGATGTATCTGATAAGTAAATAGTGAATTGTTATTATGTTTGTTAATTATCTCTTTTATGTGTTGTTTCATTGGTTTCTTTTTAATAAAGTACAAAAAAAATAAACTGTTTTCTTCCCAAGAGAAGAAAAATGGTGATCTACTAATATTCTTTCCTGCTTATATAGTTAGGTTTTTTTTACATTTATGAGTCTTCTTAAATAATGCAATCCATCCTTTGCTGCTGCTCTAGAAAAATGAGAAGAGACAAGAAAAATAAAGGCAGAAATAGCTTAATCTGATATTTCCTTATATCAGATTAAGCTATTTCTCCATCTAGCCTTGTCTTGCCTACTGTGTTTGACAATAGGATTTCAGGCTTTTTTCATCATCTGTTGCCTATTTCTTTGTAAGTGAGATGCCAGGAACCTGAGATTTGGGTATTATAGAGGACTATAGAGTACCTTGAAGACGGACTGCAAGCTGTTAAGTAAACATAAACTAAACCCTGGGAGGAAGAGGGGGTGAGAAAGAAACTCAAAATAACCTCACTTTGATTCTGTTTGGTATAAGAGGGGGCAGAAGGGAACAGATTCTGTTATTGTTCCCTCAAATAATAGAGATTCAGTAGTCTTATGAAGTCTGTTTCCTAATCTGGTCTATCTTGAAGGGCTGACAGGTAGCTCTTTATTAAGGAACTGATTTTTTACCAGTTCTTTCTCTGATCACTTAATATGATGGGCACCATGTAATCAGTTCAGAGCTCTTCATTTTCTTTATAGATATTTCTCAAAAACTTATCCACTGTCAGAGGACATCACATGTTGATGCCTACCTCCCACATTGCCAGTGATATTAAAGATCCATATTAAATGGTCTTGAGTTTCAAATATTATAAACAATGAAAAATGTAGAGTGTTTAACTTTAATTTGGTCAAGTTTAATGCCATTTAAGAGTGTTAAAAACAAAAAAATGCAAGATACTCTGATTAGAATAGTGTTTCTCAACCTTGACAACTTTAAGATGGATGGATTTCAGCTCTCAGAATTCCCCAGCCAGGAATTCTGGGAGTTGAAGTCCACCCATCTTAAAGTTACCAAGGTTGAGAAACACTGGATTAGAACACTGGATTAGAATAAAGAAATTTATAGGGAAAATGTAGCCTTCAGACCATTGAGTAGCTATAATTGCAAATATGAAGGCAGTGACATTAACATTTTTTTTGAAATAAGAGTAGTTGTAGTTTTAGTTGACAAAATAGTAGATTTGTTTGAGCTATTTGGAATTTTTACACTTTAAGAAACAGCTTTATTTCCATAATTTGATTTCCTTTTACAAAAACCAAAATTGGTTTTCCTGTATCAAGTTTGATCAGTCATGAATATGCAGATGTGACACAACCATTAACTATTACATATAAATGAATTTTGGTTGACTTTAATACAATGATTGCTCAACTTTTAACAGCATTTTCTGTCCTCAAGAGAACACTGAAGAAGCTCTGTTGCTGCTGCTAATCAGTGAATCCATGGTGAGTCATGTTTCTTTATAAATGAGTACCATTTACATTACTTCTGTTATATTTTACAGTTTGATACTTCACAAGCTGTAACTTGCTGTAAGAAGAGCAAAAGTTAAGTATGTGTCTGCATAGGTGGGCTGCTATGTGTGCAGTATTTGGATCCGGAGCAGGAAGGCAACTTCTGGTACAATCCTTTCTGGGTTCATTTACTTCATGTGCTGCTTCTGCATTCCCTCCCCCCCCCCCCCCCCCCCCGCAACAGAGTAGTGCTGTGTTCCCCAAAGCCTATAAATCAGTTGATTGGATACAATGAGGAGCACAGTGTTTTTATAGCACTCTGGGTCAGTAGTGGGCAACTTGTTTCAGCTGGGGAATGCAGTGCTGATCTAGCGCTATACCATTATAGCATTTCTAGGCTTTTGATCTTCTGGAAGGTTGCAGGTGACTTTTTGGTGACAGGATAAGGTAACTTGAAAGGAATGGCCCATTGTTGCTTTTTGGGCAGTTTTTGGAGGTTTTAAAACTAAGTACTGTATGTGAACAAGGGGGACATTTGGGAGGCAAACTACTACATTCCTATCCTTAACCACCCAAATGTGAAACCAGCCAAAATTGTACCACTAAAGTTTGTCCATTTAAATGTTGAATGTCAGTGGTGCAATTTCAGGACATTGGGGAGCCACAGATTGCTCACTGCTGCTCTATTTGGATAGTATTTCTGACAAACTGCTGATTAGCTGTTTAGCAGGTTCAGGATAGTGCTATTGTAGTGGAAGAAGATAAAACAGTGGGAAGCTGTATATGTATTTGTGCATGTGTGATTGTGTGTGTATGGATGCAAGTCTTTGTGTACTTATAGGCACACATGTGATCACAATCATTTGTACCACTTGCACCCTTCATACCTATAAAAAGCTTAACCAGCTTTGGCTTACAGGATAAATGCCATAATCTACAGAGGTCTGGATACATGTACCTTCTCTTTCCATGATTAAATTATTACCCTTGTCAGAATATTATACATGGATTATTCTAAGGTTCTACTATCTTCTTGCAGTAGGTTTTCACAAAAATACTTCCCAAACTTTCACCTTCCCCCTCATACTATAGGCATACTGTTTCTTATCTCTGCCCATATTCAGGTCTTTGTGACAGTGCACCATTTGGTCCCACTGGCAAATCATTCCTGGCATGTTAAACTATCAGAACTAGTTTGGTTGTCAAACCTGATTAGCTTATGTTCTCCAGAATGGAACTGGGTAGGGAGAAAAGTCAGTGCTGTAGAAACCTTTTTATTTGTGTATGTGTATCTCCATTATGCTGCAGAGGTCTTATTTCAAAGAGACGGTGAGGTTGGGTAAGAAAAAGATCAGCATTTCTGGTGCTAAAACGAGAAAGTCAGAATTGAATGCAAAGGAGACATAGACAAGAGCACAAGTGGAATCAGAAAGGAACAAAAGAAAAATTGGATCTGTTTTGTCAAGAAAGATTTGAAAATGACACTACCATCTCCACTTTCAACTGTTAGACAACAGTGGTACAACAACTGCTAAGAAGAGATATTGATTGTAATTATGAATTATGGATACAAGGTTTAAATACAGGTAGTCCTCGACTTATGACGGCAATTGGGACTGAAATTTCCATTGTTTAGCAGTGCAGTCATAAAGCACAACTGCACTGCTTAGCAACGGCAGTTCCTGCAGTCCTGATTGCCATTGTTAACCAAATCCCATGCTCATTAGGCAAGGTGACTTCCTGCCGGCTTCCCACAACCAGTCAGTTATAAGTTATAAGTCCCAGGCTGGCAGGCAGATAAGTTGCTGCTGCCAGGTGGGGGAGGGAGTAAGGAGGTACAGGGGAGGCACGGCGAGGGTCAGGGAGGGTGCCTGAGAGGAGTGACGAGGGTTGGGGTGGGTGGAAGTGGGTGCACAAGAGGCATGGCAGAGGTCAGGGAGGTTGCAAGGAGGTGCACAATAGGTGCAGGGATGGTCCGCGAGGGTGAAAAGGGGTGTGCGAGAGGTGTGGCAAGCATTGGGGAGGGTGTGAGGGGATACATGAAAGGCACAGGGAGGGTGTGCAAAGGTGTGCGGGTCGGGGAGGATGCACGAGGGTGCAGCATGGGTCAGGGAGGGTGCACAGAGGTGCACAAGTGGTTGGCACAGCATGAGTGCAGAGGAGCTGGGGGAGGGTGCACAGGTGAGGGAAAAACACCACAGTGACTTGAGACCTTCCCTGCCAGCTTCCCCATTGACTTTCTGGGGAAGCCGGCAGAGCAGGTTGCAAATGGTGATTATGTAATCATGGGGTGCTGCAACCGGTCATAAGTGTGAACCAGTTGCCAAGCATCCTTATCATGATCACGTTACTGTGGTGATGCTGGGACAGCCGGAACTCAAGAACCAGTCATAACCATCATTTGTTCAGTGCCGTCATAACTTTAAAAGGTCGCTGAACACATGGTCGTAGGTCAAGGACATTGCCAGTGATATTAAAGATCCATATTAAATGGTCTTGAGTTTCAAATATTATAAACAATGAAAAATGTAGAGTGTTTAACTTTAATTTGGTCAA